ATGGATAGACTTATTTAATCTTATAGTCACAATGAATTATTATTATTTATTTAATCGTTAATTATGGCAAACGTCAAAAGTTTTAGAGTTTACAAGCATTTAAAAATATTATTTTTTAATGAAATTAATTGTAAAGTTGTTTAATCGTAAAAATATTTTGGCATTTCATTTAAAAATACGATGAAGATAAAATTATTTATTGTGAATTTAAAACTAATTTTTTCAAAGTTTATCGCAAGGGAATGAAAACAAAAGAAAAACGCAGCTTTGGCTCCAAAATACTTTAGAAGTTTTAAAATTTTATGTATTTAATTTAAAAGTTTTTTTTTTTTTTTTTTTTTTTTGATTTTTTATTTAGACTTCTATATTTGAGAAATATTTTTTTAAAACTGATAAAATTGCATTTTATTAAAACTGATGAAAAGAATTAGGAAAATGTTTAGGTTGATTGTAAAAAAAAAAAAAAAAATTAAAAGAAAGGAAATAAATAATAAAACGAAAATTAACATTGGAGAAAATTTTTTTTATTTTTTAAATATATAATTTTTACAAAATAAAAACTCGTTTAAATTATTAAATAATTATAATAAAATTAAAAAAATTTGTTTTTCGACGAGAAAATTCTTCGTAAAAAGCTCCTGAAAGAGTAAAATCATATTTTGACATAATTAATAAACTTTAATTAATAACAATTAACTGTAATGCAAATTTATATTTAAAAAAAAAAGAGACTTTCTTTTATATTTGTATAATATGAAAAATTTGACAGTTTTAATAATAATTCAATTTTAAAAAAAAGTTTTTTTTTACGCCTTAAAAAATCTTTTTATGCAGAAGCGAAAATAAATTAATTTATAATTTAAATTGACAGCTAAAGTTTTTTAAGGATTGTAATCAATAAAATTTTTTTGATAAGAAAGCCAATGCTGTCTTTTCTTGGAAAAAGATGCGCAGCCCGAGGTAAATTTACGTTTCAATCTGCGCTTACGATACACTTACTTTGTTCTCCCGATTTTTCCCTAGGTGGGTTCCGTAACTGTGATAGAAATTAAAAGTATCGTAATTATATACATGAGTTATTTAATTGATCGTCGTTTCGGGAAAATAATCATTTATTTAGTTTTAAATAAAAGTGCTTAATTTATTTATAAAGTTTAATCAACGTATTTAAAAAATGATGAAAAAATATGCTTCAAAATACAGTGTGGGTTGGTGCTCGCCAGTATTACACGAATTACATTAACATTTAAGCGTCACTTTAACTCGGGTCGCCATTTTTTCGGCTTTTAATTCGAGTCAAATTCGTTAGATATTTTCTAATATTAAAAGCTTAATTTTCAATTCGTATAGACTGTATTATTTTAAAGGCTCAAAAAAAAAAAAAAAATTTTTTTTAAGTTAAAAAAAAAAAAAAAAACATCTTTTAAAATGGTCCGCCATACCTGGAATTAGCACGGATGTGTAAGTTCTACCCTGGGCAAGGTTACCTGCTTTCATCAAATGTATGGTTCATTTTAAAGGTGAGGTGGTGATACATTATCTGAATTTTTTAAAATAAAATAAAATAAAAAAATAAATAATAATAATAATAATAATAATAAAATGCTTAAGTGTAAAAAATTTTTAGTGCTAAGTGAATTGCGTCAATTTTTATTTAAAATTATTAGTAGGTGTTGACATGAATGGTTTTTATGGATTATTCAGAATAGCAAGAACTTATATTGAAGAAATTTTTTCGAAGGTCAATGAAAAATATTTTAGTTTACGGTGAGTTTTTTTTTTTTTTTTTTTACATTCCTTAAATTTAATAAACCATATGTAAAGTTTTAAATTTTTAAATTACTACACCACCACCACCACCACCGTATAATTGACCTAATCCGTATTATGTTCCGTTTAAAAAAAAAAATTATTATTCACTCTCATAGAATTTTCTTTTTTCTATTTATAAAATATCAGGATTTAAAAAAATTTTAAGCATACATAGTTATTCATTTTTATTAATAATTGAAATTTGATTTTTTTTTGTAAAATTACTAAATTATGTCAATAATTACAGGAAAGCGGAATCATTACAAAATTGTTTGTTTAAAAAAAATTTTAATTTATTACTCGAGATAACAAATATTGAAATTTAGAAAAAAAAATTAAATTGTTTAAAGTGAATTTATTTCAATGGTATTTTTTCAACAACATAAAACCACAAATTTTCTCTCTATAGTTAAAATTAATAGATATTTTTAATAATTAATAGTGCGACAAACAATGCACACTTTCTTTTTTATTTAAAAAAAAAATTATTTTTTAATTTGAATTTTGTGATAAATTTTTTTTATCGTTTAAAAGGATTTGAAAATTTTTCAAGTGGAAAAATCAGTCTGATTATCATACTTTAAATTAAAATAAACATATATATTTTTTTTATAATATATATGCAATGCTAATGATAAAATTAACATATATATTTTTATGGAGTGCGATTACAGGTCACAATTTTTTGAATAATTAATATATATATTTTGTAATTGCATATTATTTTAAGCAACACTAATTATTTATTTTACTCAATCGCAATCATTAATAGCAAGCAAGCAAGCAAGCAAGCAAGGAATCTTTTAAATAATTAAGTAAATATTTTTTTTTTTTTTTTTTTGCTTTACATGCTTCGTTGAACTATTATAAAAATTGTCAATTTCGAATGTAGGTCAACAAATTATGAATTGTAAAAATTTAAAAACATTACCACCACTTTATTATGATAAATTTATAAGCATATTCATATTCACTATAATTATAATTAAATTTAAAACACTGGTCACACAAATGGTCACAAATGTTAAGCGATGTGAAAAAAAAAAAAAACACAAATGACACGAAATAGCATTTATTAAATTCTCCATTACATATATATATATATATATATAAAATTATTAAATGAATCAAAGTGAATTTAAGTGAAAATGATAAAAAAAAAAAAAAAAAAAAAAAATTTAAAGGTTCATAACACAGAACCAGAATGCTATCGATAATTTTTCAATAATGGGGGTTACAAAATTTTTATAATGAAATAATAATAATAATAAATTGTTGTTTCAAATATGTAAAAAACTTATTTTCATGTAATACTTGAAAAATTATATTTTCACAAATGTGCAGCAGATAAAATACCAGTTTTTAATTACTAAAAATTAAATTTTTTTATTGATTATTCATTCTCACCAAAGTTGAAATTTGTCGGTTTTAAGATCATAAATAAATAAAAAATTATTATTTATTATTATTATTATTATTATTATTATTATTATTATTATTATTATTATTATTAATTATTATTATTATTATGGGAAAATAAAATAAAACGATAAAAAATTAAATTTTTAAACGATAAAAAAAAAAAAAAAAAATTCATTTAATAAATTATCCACGTATATTAATAAGTAATGAAGTTTTTTATATTTTTTGTTTGTTTTAAGTACTGCCAACTTGAAAGGAATTTAAAAAAAAAAAAAAAAAAAAAAAACTTTTTACATGCAATGGCGTTTTTTTTTTTTTTTTTTTTTTTTTCCCTTTTTAAAAAATTGGTTGCTTTCTTTCGTTTTGCAATAGGAATCCCGTTAAAAAAGAAAAAAAAAAGGAATAGGAAATAATAAAATAAATCGGTTATAAAGAAAAAAAAAAAAAAAAAACCTATTTATACCCTTTTGGCTTTCTAATAACAAAAAAAAAAAAAAAAAAACTTATTTTCGTATTTAAAATACCCATTATTACAATTTCCTTTTTCTTTTTTTCCTTTTTTTTTTTTTTTTTTTTTTTTTTTAAGGGAAATTACCTCGGGTCAATTTAAGATAGACTTGCCTAAATCATAAAAAAAAAAAAAAAAAAATTTAAGTTAACGTTAATAAGTATCATTTAAATTCTTTATTTTTAAATTAAAAAAAAATGTCGACGATAAAGTATAAATAAAATATATAAATATCGAAAATGGGAGTTTATGGGGGAAGTACATACATAAAATTAAAATTTATCGAATTTTTATATTAAAAAAAATAATAATAATAATAATGTTTTAATAATACGAATCTTCCCCCTAACGACTTCTTCCCCCTCTGTAAAAATTGAAAATTAAATTTTTTTTTTTGGTTTTTTTTTGGTTTTTTTTTCATCTTTTCTTTTATATGTATAAAAGAGACTATTATTGTTGAATTTAAAAAAAAAAAAATTTTTTTTAATAACGTTGAGATTATTTAAATATATTAAAAAAAATGTTTTATAAGTCTTCTTGTAGCAATCATTCATCGTTTGTGTTGATGTTTATGGTTGTTGTTGTTGTTGTTGTTGTTGTTGTTTTTAATTTAAAAATTGTATCAATTTCAATTATAGAAAAAGGGGAAATCACAAATTTAGATTTCTATTCGATTTTTTTTTTTTTTTATGTTTGTCACAGCATGCATTCTATATATATATATATATATATATATATATATATATATATATAATATTATTTTATTTAAAAGTAAAATTTATTTAAAAATTAAAATAAAAACGTTTTTGACGTTAAAATATAAAAAAAATTGTCGCAAAATAAATTTAAATTAAAAATTTTTTCAAAAAAAAAAAAGTTTTTCATAAATTTTAATTAAAATACAAGAGTAAACACATATTTTTTTTTTTATGATTATATATTGTATGAAAGTATATAATTAAAAAATATTTATTTTTAGAATTTCTTTAAAAAGTCTTTTTTTTTTTTTTCGTAATTTAAATTTGTAATGTACGTTTTAATATTATTATTATTATTATTACTTTCTTTTCGTCTTATAATTTCTTATTTTTTTTTTTTTTTTCAAACGGTCACCAAATATTAAAAAAGCTTAAAAGGGAATTGTTTGCTTAAAGGAAATGATTTTGTTAATTTTATTAATTTTTTTTTTTTTTTTCTGTTACAGATTATAATGTGACCAAGTGCCTGTAAAGGTGTAACAAACTGGAGTCGAATAAAAATGAAGAAGATGGTGACGATGATGTTGACGTTGCTTGGCGGGTTTGGTTTGATCTCGCCGACTCGTTGCACCATCATCAAATCGTTCGCCGATGAGCAAATTGAAAAATTCAATCATCTTGTCGTTGATAAAAATACGGGGCGAGTTTTTATCGGAGCCATAAATAAATTGTACCAACTTTCGCCCGATTTAGAGTTGGTCATATCGGAATCGACGGGTCCGCATGAATATTCGTCTCAGTGTTCGGTATTGGATTGTCTCCCGACCATAGTTAAAAAATTAACGGATAACGTGAACAAAGCTCTCGTCATCGATTACACTACAAGTCGGTTAATTGTGTGCGGAAGTCTTTTTCAGGGAACATGTTCGGTACGAAACCTTCACAACATATCCGACGTGGTTCAATCGGTAAAAGAAGCCGTGGTCGCGAGCAACAAAACGGCGTCAACCGTGGCATTCATAGCTCCGGGACCGCCGAACCCTCCCGTGACTCAAGTCATGTACGTGGGAGTGACGTATTCGGGAGGGAATTCTCCCTACAGCTCAGAAGTACCTGCAGTTTGCTCTCGAAGTTTAGATCCGAACAAAATGTTTACGATAGCCAAAACGGCCGTGACCACGGGGACTAGAATGTTTGTCAATTCCTTAGCTCGAGAGCGGTACCTTATAAATTACGTTTACGGTTTTAGTTCGGGTGGTTTCAGTTATTTTTTGACCAATCAAATGAAATCGACTCAAGCGTCACCGTTTATATCAAAGTTAGTACGAATTTGTCACGACGATCCCAATTATTATTCGTATACCGAAATACCGATCGAATGTACGACGACGACGACCGGAAAATCGGAAAAGATTAAAAATTTCAACTTGGTACAGGCAGCTTACGTTGGGAAACCCGGTTCGGATTTGGCCGCGGATTTAGGCATCACCGCTCAAGACGACGTTCTTTTTGCCGTTTTTTCAGAAACGGACCTAAGCGAAGGAGAAACCTCGAGCAAACCCGCTCCCTCGAGCGGTCTATGCGTTTACACTTTGAAAAGCATTCGAAGGAAATTTATGGAAAACATAAAGACTTGCTTCGAGGGTAAAGCCAACAGGGGTCTGGATTTCGTATCGACCGGTCACCATTGCGTTCCAACGGTAAGTTTATTTATTTTCCTTTACACATATATTAGTTCATTTTTGGGTAAAATTCATTTAAATTTCACGACGACTCGTCCCATATTTTGTTTGTTTATATAAAATTGTTTAATTTCTATTTGTTTAAATTTGTTTTTAAACTCGAAACTTTCACTTTATATAAAGCTTTTTAATTACTACCTCGCGTTTCGTCTAAAAAAAAAAAAAAAAAATTATACCATTCAGAGAGAGAGAGAGAGAGATATAATAAAATCGACATTAAGTTATCTGTAATACATCAGATTTACCTTGCGGTGTTTAAACTAGGAAATTACTATAATATATATATATATATATTTCAAATATTATTTAAAAAAAATAAAAGCGGTATCGGCGTTCTTTGATAACAAATTTAATTCAAACGGTTCGCTTTGGGTATTCTTTTCTCTCTCTTAACTTTAAATTACACGAGTTCATAAATAAAAAAAAAGAAAAAAAAAACATGGCAGTTGAAAGTATGAAAAACTTTTATTTATTATTTGTCTTTTCTTTCTTTTTTTTTTTTTTAAATTCGAAGAACTTTAATAATTATTTGAATGCTTTAAATTTTTCATTTATTTGTTTATTATCATTATTATCATTAATCGTATTTTTTTCACGTGCTCGTTAAAAAGCAAAAAAAAAATTAGGTTTTTAGTTTATTTTGGCTCTGTGATTTTCACGTGAGGAGCGTTTTTATTTATTATTGGTTTTTCCTTTTATTTATCTCCTCGGTTTATTTTTGTTAAAATAACACATAGCTCTGGATTATTTTTAAAAAGAAAAAAGATGGAGTCAGTCAGGTGACGGAGTTGGTTTTGTTATACACCTAATTAGACTAGATAATTTTTTACTAGATAAAGAGAAAGGAAAAGACACGAAAATTGCTTTTTAAAATTAAAATATAAATAGAAATTTAAATTTTTATCCGTATTTTTTCGTTCTTTCGTTTGTTTGTTTGTTTGTTTGGTTGTTTGTTTGTTTGTTTGTTGGCTCTCGTTGAAAGTAGGAAAATGTAAAGATTCATTGTGATGAATCAGATTTTATTTGAATTATCTGATTATACGCGAAAGGCTAGGCAATATATATATTATTTGTCATAATCACGTGTTATTATAAATAAGGAAATTTTAACATTTTAATTTTTTTTTTTTTTTTTTTTTTTTCTATTCATTGCTAATTTTCAAAAAAAAAAAAAAAAAAAAAAAAAAAATATGATTCCAAAAATAATAATTATTGGTTGTTGTTGTTGTTGTTGGGAGGGTTTCGGGAAGAATATTTCAAACAGAAAGAGAAAATGAATTTGCCAACAGGAGAATTTAAAAAAAAAAAAAAAAAAAAAAATGCGGGTCGAAACTAATTTAGATTTTTTTCTAAATCATAAATTTTAAAAAAAAAAAAAAAGCAAATGTATTGTGTGACCTTTGCCCCCCCCCTCTCTCTCTCTCTCGGTTTTATTTTTTTCGATAGAAACTAATAAATAAACCTGCGTAAAAAAAAAAAAAAAACTCGTAATGGCTTCTTTTTTTATATTTTTTTATTACAATAATTATAATTTTTTTTTTATCACTCGCGTACACAGTTTTTCCTCAAAAGAGAGAAAAAAAAAATAAAAAATAAATAAATTATTATAATGAGTACCTTATTATTATTATTATTATTATTTGAAGGAGAGAGAGAGAGAGAGAGATAAAAGTAAAATTACGAAGAGAAGTTTCATAATGCCCTTTTGACTATTCGTTTTTTTTTTTTTTTTTTTTATTACGAAATTTTAATAATAATAATAATAATTTCAATAATAAATTTTTGTTCTTTTTCTTTCCCCCTCCCGCCTACCCCTCCCCCCTTCGTACTTTATGTAAATGTATCTACGGTCGATTTATAATAAAAATAAATAAAATATATATTTATTGTGTAAAAAATTGTGCTGCATACGTATACAACATAAATTATTTACAAAGTTAAATACTTGTAATTTTCGAACTCGATATATCGAATAAAATAATGATGATAATAATAATAATAATAATAATAGCAACCGAGAGCATATATTTTATTTATTTATTTATTTTATTAAATTTTTATTTTATGATTTTCCTTGCGAATGAGTTGCAATGCGATTGTGGTTATTATAGCTTTTCTTTCTCTTTTCTTTTTTCTCTTTTCTTTCTCTTGGATTTTGTTTTTTTTTTAAAATTTTTTTTACTCAAAAGAATCGTATTTCGTATAATCGTATGTGTGTGTGCGTGTATGCGTGCGTGCGTGTTTAAGTTTGAATATAAAAGGAAACGGATGTTGATACCATTTTTTTTTATCATCGTATTTTCGTAAGATATTTTTTTAAATATTTTTTATGTATGTATGTATTTATTAATTATGGCGACTTCCCTTAAAAATCTAGCTAGAGCTGAGCTATCATCAAATTAATGTTTTTTTTATTTAATTTTGGCGGTTGGAAAAGTGAAATGTTTAGGGGAAAAAACGAAAAAAAAGTTAGAGAATGCGGTAAAGCTGTGGATGAATGAATGAATGAATGAATGAATGGAATGAATGACACGAGACGGAAGAAATAAGTGAGTTATTATTATTATTATTATTATTATTATTATTATTATTATTATTATTATTATTATTTGTTTTTATATTATTTAATTTGCACACGAGAATAATGAACGTTTTTTTTTTTTATTTGAGATTTATAAAATGGAAAATTTAATTAAATTAAGAAAGATTTTTTTTTTTTTGTATATATAGAATATATAATTAATTTTGCAAATGTTCTTCACTATTTTTTTTTTGTTTTTTGGGGGGGGAGAAAGGGGAGGGGAGGGGAAATATTAGTAAAAGAGAAAAGTTTGAGCTTCCCAAGAGGTTCCTGATATTAAGCTTTGTAATTCGGTTTGTGCGGGACGCGCGCGCTGCACAGCTGGTCGAAGCTTTCATCTTCAGGCTCCAAGCTCGGAAGATCAATAAAAGGAGGAGGAGGAGGATAGCTGAATTTTCTTTAACTCCCTTTTGCATCTTTTCCTTTTCTTTTACTTTTTCCCTCTCTTCCCCTCTTCCCTCTCTCTTTTCCTTTTTTTTTCGCATCTTTCTTGTACTTATTTAACTTCAGGTATTTTCCTTTTCATTCACATAAATTTAAAATTTAAAAATTTTCAAACTTTTTTTTTTTTTTTTTTTTTTTTTTTTTGTTAAATTTACAAAAATCATTAATGACAAACATTGACACAACTCGTCATATCCAAGTGAAAAACTAATATGATTATGTTTTGTTTCGGTTAGTTATACGACTTTAACATGCTTTCCATGGTTTTCTTTTTCTTTCCATCCATCCATTTTGCCCACATTTTAATGTGTTTTTCCTTTCCTTTTCCTTTTAATGTTTTTTTTTTTTTTTTTTTTTTCAATTGAAGGAAGAAGAATTTTAGTATCATCATGAAAATTTTTTTTTTTTTTGTAAAGTTTTGCTAAAGTTTGAGAATTTTTTAAACTTTAAATTAATGTTTATTCGTTTGTTTGTTTGTTTGTTTGTTTTCTAGAAATTGCAAAGCATAAGCGAAGATTTTTGCGGTTTAGATGTTAATACTCCTCTGGGTGGTGAATCACCCATTCAGACAGAGGCAGCTTTAGCTTTTAATGATCTTTTAACGGCAGTTGCGGCTACTTCGACTGGAGATTACACCGTCGTATTTTTGGGAACGGGAAATGGACACCTGAAAAAGGTAAGCAAGCAAGCAAGCAAGAATTAAATCTTTCCTTTTCATTAAATTACAAAAAAAAAAAAAAAAAAATGATTTGAATTTTTTTATATAATTGAATGGAATGGAATGATTGAAAAAAAAATTTTTTTTTTTTTGGTTTGTTTTTTTTTTGAAATAGTTTTGCCGCACCCAGCATTTGGGATGGAAAAAAATTAAAAGTTTTGATGCATTTTTGAAAATTATTTAATTCTTTAATTAATTATTATTTAGTGATATGATGAGAATGAAAAAATTATAAAATAACAACCGCCACCGCCATTACCGGTATTGTAAATCTCTCTCTAAAAAAAAAAAATTTTTTTTAAAATAATACTTAAAGGTCGTCGTTGAGGGTTCGTCATCGGCTTTACAATATGGAGATGAAATAATTGATGAAAATTCGGCAACGAATCCGGATTTGTATTTTGATGCTCAGCAAATACATTTGTACGTGATGACGGAGAGAAGAGTGTCAAAAGTAAAAGTGCAAGAATGTAGCGTTTATAAAACTTGTTGGGACTGCCTTAATGCCAAAGATCCATATTGCGGATGGTGTTCTCTAGAAAACAAGTAAGGTTTTTCACATTAAGTAATAATAATAATAATAATAATAGAGAAACAATTTTGAAAAAAAATTTTATTTATTATTATTATTATCATCGTTATCGTCGTTGGTTAATATGAAAATTGCTGTTTATTTAACACACACACACACACACACACACACATGTAACAAAAAGAGAAAAAGTTTTAAAAGATTATTAAAGGAATAATATCAATCTAAAATTTAACTGTATAACTTTGGGTTGGTGGTATTAAGTTCAAATTCAAACCTCCTCTTTAGATCTTTTTTTTTTTTTTTTTCTTTTCTTTTCTTTTAATATTCTGATTTTATCATCCTTAATAGTTTTTTTTTTTTCTTCTCTTCTCTTCTTCTTCTTCATTATAAAGTCAACACACGTATATATTATGGTGGAGACTATTTAAATACATGAGCAATTTGAAGAAATGACTCAACTCGAATATTATTACTTACTATTGGTAATAATAATAATATTGACGTAAAAGCTCAAAATGGATTTTTTGTATGATGGTGTGTGTGTGCGTGTGTGCGTGTGTGTGCATGGTTAAAATTAGATGCATTGAATCGAAAATAAAATTTAAATAAGCGTCCAAGAAAACTTAAATATGCGATTATTGTTTTATCACGTAATCATAATTTTAATTATATTTTCGTGCATAGAAAAAAAAAATTATTATTATTATTATTATTATTACGTGAATGTATTCAATTTTTTTTCATTTTTTTTTCATTTTCTTTTTGGGTTTTCGAATGTATTTAAAATTTACTTTCCGTACTTGCCTACATAATAATAACGTTTTTTTTTTGTATTGTAAAAATTGATGGTTGTTCAATTATTTTATTTACAAATGTAATTTTTTTTTTTTTCAAAAATTATTTTAGATGTAGCTTGAGAAGCGATTGTCAAGATGCTGCTAAGGATCCATTATATTGGATATCATATAAAAGTGGAAGATGTACGACCATAACTACAGTCACACCGAATCAACTTCAACGAACCACTGCCAGAACGGTTGGTTATACATATAGTTTATATATATTGTAAAATATTTACTTAGAAAAGAAAAGTTGTTCTGGGCAAACGTTTAATTAGGTTTTTCCCATTTAAAGTTCAAATTTAGGTCAAATTTTTACGTAGTTAAAAAAAAAAAATAAATAAATAAATGCATAAAGAATTTATGTGTTTATTATTTTTATTGTTATTTATTTATTTTTTTATTTAAAAAAGTTTATTCATTATAATAAAATATTAATTTTTTATCGGCCCCTCCCCGCGCCCGCCCTTAGAAAAAAAAATTATTGTTTGATTTTATTATTATTATTTTTTTTTTTTTTTTAGCTTGAATTGGTGATTGATAACCTTCCCACATTGCCTGGACAATTTCTTTGCGCTTTTACTGCTCTTGATAAAGTTCTCATAACAAATGCTACGAGAAAATCTTATGGTGTTAATTGTACGACGCCTCGAACTGATTTACTTCCTTCCATACCGGCTGGACAGCGTAAGTTTTACTTTACTCTTGCTTCTTGTCTTTAAAATTGAAATGAAGTTGATTTAATTTAATTTTAATTATTTTTCAGATCATTTTGTATCACGTTTATCAGTTCGAATGACTTCTGGTCCAGATTTTGTACAAACGAATTTTACATTTTTCGACTGCAACACTTACAGTTCCTGCACTCAGTGCGTATCGTCAATGTTTCCCTGTGATTGGTGTGTCGATGGTCACAGGTGCACTCACGATACGGCGGAAAATTGTAGAAATGATATCCTCGTTACCGGAGTTAGCGTGAGTACATTTACAATGACGTGATCATTAGGTATCAAAAAAAAAAAAAATTAAAATTAATTTTTGTAAATTTTATAGAGGATCGGTCCCAGCTATAGGAGTGGCCCAGGATTTTGTCCAACTATTAACGCTACTGCAGAAGGCTCTCCAGAAATTTTGGCTCCGTCCGGTATGAAGAAAGTTATCAAAGTTAAAGTTCATATTATAGGAGTAAGTTTGTAACATTTGTATATGTTTATTATCGAGTTTTTTTTTTTTTTTTTTGTTTAATTAAATACGTAATTTAAATTTAATTTTAGCAATTCATTGTTCAAACTCGTTTCGTCTGTCAATTCAATATCGAGGGAAGAGTGACTCACGTTAACGCCCGTCTACTCGGTGATACCATTTACTGCGAGAATATGGAATTTTCTTACACTTCAAGAGCTCCTAACATAACGGTTCCTTTTGCTGTCATTTGGGGAGGATCAAAACCTTTGGATAATCCTGATAACGTTCACAGTAAGTTTTTTTTAATTGATTTTTTTTTTTGAGAAAGATCGACAGCCCGATTTCGTAAATTTTATTTTTAATTTTAATTTTTCAATTTTCAGTTGTTATTTACCGCTGTAGAGATATGGCTGACAATTGTGGAATGTGTTTGGCTCTGTCGGAAAAATACGAGTGTGGATGGTGTCAAAGCGCAGATAGATGTGAAGTTAAGGATCAGTGCGATCAAGGAAGTGGAGTATGGTTGGATCGAGAACAAACTTGTCCGAATCCCGAGGTGTACGAATTCGAACCAATGATGGGACCGTGGGAAGGTGGAACAAACATAACCATTCGCGGAATAAATCTGGGAAAATCTTTTCAAGATATTTACGGTGGAGTCATGGTGGCTGGCGTTCAATGTGAACCGTATAAAGAACTCTATATAAAAACGAAAGAAATAATTTGTAAAGTAGATGGGCCCGGAAGTAGCAAACCCCGGAGTGGTCCTGTGATTGTAAAAGTCGAAGATTTCAGGGGCGAATCAAAATCTAATTATAATTTTGTCGATCCTCAAATATATGGAATCAGTCCAACGTTTGGTCCTAAATCGGGAGGCACGGTTCTTAGAATAAAAGGGAAATTTATGAACGCCGGAAGTAGAACTTTAGCTTTTATCGATGAGCTTCCTTGTGAAATCAACAGGTAGGTTTTTAAGATTAAATCTAACTTTTTCTTTTCTTTTAATGATTTATCTTTTTTTTTTTTTTTGTCCAAAATTACATTTCATTCATAATTTTCAGCACAAGTTCTGATGAGGCTATTTGCATCACGAGTTCATCTGATAAGCAAAGAACCGGAGCTTTAAGAATGAAGTTTGATAAAGGTGATCGATATTTTGACAAAGGCTCATTCGAATACGTTGAAGATCCAACAATCGAATCCGCAGAATCGGGTCCTCTAAGTCAGGTATGGTTTGATTTTTTGCAAAACAACAAACAAAATTTAGTAGGTTTTATTTACGGTAAATAAACTAAATTTTATATATTTTTTTTTTTTTTTCAGTTAAAGATACCAAAAGGAATTCCTGCCGGGGGTATTAAAATTTCTGTTGTGGGGAAAAACTTCGTGAGCATTCAAAATCCCCAGATGTATGTTTATTACGATAATAAAAAGTTTGTCAGCGTAAGTTATTTACTAATGATAAATTATATTTAAAACAGCCATTAAAATATTTCTTAAAAATTTGGTTTTCATCCACGTAAAAAAAAAATAATAATAATAATAATAATTTATACTTAATTGTAAATATTTTATTTTAGGATTGCACTGTACTATCTAATACTAACATGCAATGCTCATCACCTCAAATACAAGTTCCAAACGATGTTGTTATTGATCCAGATCAACCTTTACCGTTGCTATACGGGTTTCACATGGATAAAGTATTAGGCGTTCAAAATCTTTCAGTCAAACAAGGGTATCCCCCGTTTTCATTGTATCCCAATCCCGTTTACGAGCCGTTCGATGAAGAAATAAAGCACTATAAAAGTGATTACCTAACAATTAATGTAAGCAAATGAATTTTTTTTTTTTTTTTGACATCATGATTGATTGAATTAAAAAATTATTAAAATTTATTAAAATGTTTACGAATGTTATCAGGGTCAACATTTGGATAGAGCTTCTCAAGAAACTGACGTGTCGGTTCAAATTGGTAGTAGCGTTTGTAATGTGACATCACTTTCGAGGCAACAACTTACTTGCCGTCCACCCGAAACCCAACCCCCGCCCGTGGATGCCGAAGGAACTTCTGATCAGCATAGTCTTCCAGAAGTTGTGGTATTTGAATTTTAAAAATTTTCAGTTTTTTTTTTTTTTTTTTAAAGAACACAAAATTTTCAATTTTTCAATGTTTTGATTAATGAAATTTCCCATCATTGAAGGTTATCGTCGGCGGATCCTTACGTTATAAAATAGGAAAACTAAGTTACACATCACTCACTGGGAGCGCAGGGCCGTTAACCAAGCCTACTGTAATTGCAATAGTAGTTGTTATTTTGGTCATTTTTGTGATTTTCTTGTGCTTTTTGATCGCGTACAGAAGGAAATCCACCGAGAGTAGCAGAGTGTTGAAAAATATGCAAGAACAAATGGATATTTTGGAATTGAGGGTAGCCGCAGAATGCAAAGAAGGTAAATTTATCATTATTATTATTCTAAGAAAAACTTTTGTGAAAATAAAATGAAGAGATCAGACACCACGTGCATATTAAAATTTTATTTGTGTATATGTTAAATGACTATTTATTTCTCGTTTAGCTTTCGCCGAACTTCAAACCGAAATGACTGACGTAACGGGAGATTTAACTTCCGGTGGAATACCATTTTTAGATTATCGTTCTTACGCGATGAAAATATTATTTCCAAATATGGAAGATCACGCAGTTCTCCAGTTGGAGCGCTCCGAACTTCATCATAAAGAAAAAGCTTTAAGGATTTTCGGTCAACTCATAATAAATAAAACGTTTCTTTTACTTTTCATCAGAACTTTGGAAAGTAATCGTTATTTTTCCATGAGAGACAGGTAAGATGAAGATATAAGGTATAAGATCCCAAAAATTTATTTAAAAATATTTAAATTATATTTAATTATCTTTTCAACAGAGTAAATGTTGCTTCTTTGATCATGGTGACGCTTCAAGGTAAATTAGAATATTGTACGGATATTTTAAAAACTTTGTTGGCAGAACTCATTGAAAAATGCATGGAAGGAAAAAGTCATCCAAAGCTTCTTCTCAGAAGGTATAACTTTTTTTTAAACAATTTTATAAAATTAAATCTTGTGGGCTTTTTAATTGAAAATTCTTTTTTTTTTTTTTTTTTTTAGAACGGAAAGCGTTGCTGAAAAAATGCTCTCTGCTTGGTTTACGTTCCTTTTATATAAATTTCTTAGAGAATGCGCTGGTGAACCTCTTTACATGCTCTTCAGAGCGGTGAAGCAACAAGTGGATAAGGGTCCCGTCGATGCCATCACATCGGAAGCCCGTTATTCTCTTAGCGAAGAAAAGCTTATACGACAGTCCATTGATTATAAACCAATGGTTGGTCGGATTTACATTTTACATTTAATTACAAAAAAATAATAATGATAATGAATAAAACACTTTTTTTTTTAGACGGTTTTTGTGTCAATATCACAGCAAACTATTTTCTCCGGAGGTCTTGACCCGAACACGGAAAACGTACCCGTCAAAGTTTTAGATTGTGATACGATATCACAGGTCAAAGAAAAAGCTCTCGATACCATATACAGAGCAATACCTTATAGTCAACGTCCAAGAAAAGATGATTTAGATTTAGGTACGTAAAAAAAAATTTTTTTTTGATGCAAACACTCGCATGCAGTAAAAAAATTTACACGATTAACGTAAATTTTTTTTTTTTTAAATTTAGAATGGAGAACGGGTACCTCTGGAAGGTTAATATTATACGATGAAGATACGACAACAAAAACAGAGGGAGAATGGAAGAAAAGAAATACTTTAAATCATTATAGAGTAAGATTAAATTAAAATTTTTTTTTTTTTTTTGGCAGGGTGAAGTAGAAATAGGACGTCAAAAAAATAATTAAATTAAAATTGAAATTTTGAATTTTTCCAGGTTCCGGATGGTGGAATGTTGAATCTAGTCTCAAAACAATCGTCTATGTATAATTTAACTATATTATCAGATAAAACGGATAAATCACACAAATACGAAACGTTAAATTCGTCGAAATATGCAGCGGCGAGTCCGCCATTAAGTCGAGCAACTTCGCCGCTCAATCATGACCACGAAGGAGGTATCAAGGTAAGAAATAATTTTTTTTTTTTTTTTTTTTTTTTTTTTCATTTTTCTTTTTATTTTGGGGAGTTTAATTTTTTTTTTTTTTGTTTTTTGTTTTCAGATATGGCATTTAGTAAAACACCACGATAACGATCCTCAAAAAGAAGGTGAAAGAGGAAATAAAATGGTTTCAGAAATTTATTTAACTCGACTGCTGGCTACAAAGGTATTAAATAATGATTTCGAAAAATTATTGGAAATCTTTTGCTGATTGGTTAATATTTTTTTTGCGTTCGTTTAATTAGGGAACCCTTCAAAAGTTTGTGGACGATCTTTTCGAGACAATCTTTAGCACAGCTCACAGAGGTAGCGCACTTCCCCTGGCTATCAAATACATGTTCGACTTTTTAGACGATCAAGCTTTGCTTCACGGCATAACGGATCCGGAAGTAGTTCACACATGGAAAAGTAATAGGCAAGTATCGTTTCCCTTATTCTTTTCTATTTTCTCCCAAATATTTACCAACGATGATAATAATTTTATTTTATTTTATTTAGCTTACCGTTAAGGTTTTGGGTTAACTTGATAAAAAATCCCAATTTCGTATTCGACATTCACAAATCAAATATAGTCGATTCTTGTTTGTCGGTTGTCGCGCAAACTTTTATGGATTCTTGTTCAACTTCTGATCACAGGCTAGGTAAAAATGAAAATTATTTTTTTTTATATATTTACTTTGCTGCTGCTGCTGCTGCTGCTGCCGCGCGTAAAAAATTTTCAACGTAACGTAAATGATTTAAAAAAAAAATAAAATTTTCAGGGAAAGATTCGCCTAGTTCGAAATTACTATATGCTAAAGACATTCCCGCGTATAAGGAGTGGGTCGAACGTTATTATTCGGATATAAAATTAATGCCAGCTATTTCCGATCAGGATATGGCCGCCATGCTTGCTGAAGAATCGAGAGTGAGTAGCACTTGAGGAAAATGAATTTTTTTTTAAATAACGTCGACATTATACCAAAATATTTTTATTTTTTTTATTTTAGCTGCATTCGACGGAATTCAACACAAACTGTGCATTATACGAATTATATTCGTACGCGACAAAATACAACGAACAATTAATGGTCACATTAGAAGAAGATGAATTTTCACAAAAACAAAGATTAGCATATAAATTGGAGCAAGTGCACAATAGTATGGTGGACCACAATCCGTGATTGTTTTAAAGAAAAAAAAAAAAAAAAAAAAGTTTTTTTTTTCCCCCTCTCCCCATTATTATTATTATTATTTTTTATTTTATTTTGTTTCGGTTTTTTTTTTTTTTTTTTTTGTTTTTTCTTTTCACAACAAAATAAAAAAAAAAAGATAATAATAATAATAAATAGTAAAAGTGTGAAAGTTCGCGATCTGGCCAGTGATTTGTTTAAACAAAAAAAAATTAATAAGCACGCAATAGTTGATAGATTGAGAGAGACAAAAATTAAATTATTTACGGGTTTTTATTATAAATAAATATTGTGTGCTGGAATGCAACCAACGGTTTAATTTATTAACTGGCTTTTCTTTTTTAAATAAATAAATAAATAAAAATCGATCGGATCGCAAAATTATGACTATATATATATATATATATATATATATATATATATATATATATACATGTATGTACGTATGTATATGACAATTAATAATAATAATAATAATAACGCAATTGAAAGGGCAAATTTTATTAGGGCACAATGGTTTTAGAATCTAAATAATAATAATTGATGTAGTTTCACGTGCGAGTGTCGTGACTGAGAAAATATCCTTTGATATATATAGATATATATTTAGTTTGGATAATGTCTTCCATGTGACCTGATTTGCACTTTGCTAAAGAGAAAAAGGAAAATTGTATTAATGATAAATTAATAATGCACTCAAAAAAGTGTGAGTGTATTTTTTTTTTTATTATCATTTTTTATTATTATTATTATTTTTAATATTTTTTTTTTTTTCGTACGTAACATAACATAAATAACTGGAAAATATTATTATTATTTTAATCATCGTTATCGTTATTATCATTATTATTATTATTACAATTAAAAGAAAAAAAAAATGAAAAAATCAAAGAGCTGATAAATGGTTTTTCGTGTATGTGTTTATGTGGATTGTTAATTAGGTCGTTTTTTATCTTACTAAAAGAAGAACTTTTATTTGTGCTTATTAAAAAAAAAAAAAAATGAGGGGGTCATCGTGTTTTGTTTTAACCCCCCCTCCCGGGAAAATAAGAATTTTTTTTCTCTTTTTTTTTTTTTTTTTTTTAAAATAATAGGGAAACAGTTGCACTCAAAAATTAAAAAAAAGAAAAAAAGGGAAATTTTTCTCTTACTCCCCCCATACAAATGAATTTTTTGCAAATTGTAAATGAAGCTCGGATTTCAAATTATTTCCGGCTGTGATTAGGTTTTCTCTCTCTCTCCCCCTCCCCCTCCCTCCCTTAATTTAATCAATCAATATTTTAATATATTTTTTTATTAAAAAAGAAATAAATAAAAAAAAAATTATTATTATTATTATTATTTTTGTTTTTATTGTCAATTTTCTAAGACCTTAAGAAAATGTTTAAAAAAAAAAAAATGGCGTCGATCAAGAGGGAAAATTAAATAAGAAAAATTTGTAATTTATTTAATTTTATAATTAATTTTTTTTTTAATATCATTTTATTATTTATGTATATATATATATAAATATATAATAAAACGGAGGTTAATGATAATGATGATAAAATAATGATGAAAAATAAAAATATCAGCGAGAGAAAAAAAATAAAATAAAATATTTATAGCGTAGGTATTTTTTTACCCGTAATTAATTGTGAAATTTTTTTAATATTTTTGTATAAATTTTGATATTTTAATGAATTTTTTTTTTAAATATCGTAGTTTAAAAAGAGAAAAGACGGATTCAAAACAATAATAATAATAATAATAATAATAGAGGATTTTGTCGTACGCAAACAAACACAAACAAACGCAATAAATATATATATATATATATATATATTTCGTTGAGTGCAACTGGAGAAAAAAAAAAAAAAAATTGAAAAATTATTTATAAAAAAAATAAAATAAATAAATAAATAATAATAATAATGCGATGTTATATGTAATTTTTTTTTATGATAAGAGATAAAGATTTATGATAAAAAAAATGGAGAAAAAAATGAATTTTATTTTTATTTTTAATGCATTTTGGCAAAAATAATAATAATAATAATAATCGAATCGATTCAATATGAATTGCATTTAAAAAAGCTTTTATATATATATAATATATATATAATATATATATAATATATATATATATATATATATATATATATATATATATATATATATATATATATATATATATCCCGCCTAAGCGTTTGAATTAATTTTCAAATCAATTATTATATAAAAAAAAAAAATATATATATATATAAATATATCATAAGTAATCAAATCGCTCTTTTGTACAAATTATAAGAAAGAAAAAAAAAAGCAAAAAAAAAAAAAAATGCAAAAAAAAATTAAAAAAAGAAAAAAAAAAATTGTTCATTTTTTTATTAAGACTGGAAAAAAAAAATTTTTTAAATGTGATTTAGTTGTTTTAGTAACTTTATTTTTTTTTTTTTTATTCCTTTTTTTTTTTTGTGGGGGGGCTTTTTTAATTTTTATTTTAATTTAAATCTACCGGCTCCCTTATCCTCAATATATGCTATGCTACTCATCAGTACCTTTTTTTTTTTTTTAAAAAAAATTTATTATCGTACGTAAATATATATTATTATTATTATTATTATTATTATTATTATTATTATTATTATTATTATTATTATTATTTGGTTTTTAATGATGAAGTGTCACCATTTGCTATAAAGCTTTAACCAAGTTTTTTTTTTTTATTCATTCCTTTAAAATCAATCATTTTATTTTTTTTTAATTTGTATTAATTTCATAAATAAAATTTTTTCATTTATTTTTTATTTTTTTATTTTTAAAAAACCGTAAAAAATAAGTTTATTTAAAATAATAATAATAATAATAATAATAATTTGTGTTATTTAATGATTCATTATTTTAAATTATATAAATTTTTTTTTTTTTTTTTTTTTTTTTTTAAAGCAAGGTAAACTTCTATTCAGGGCACTTTTTATTTCTTTTTCTTTCTTTTTTTTTTAAAAAAAAATTTTTATCAAAAATAAATTTATGTATTTACCATTAAAGATATTGAAAAATATATTTTAATTGGTGTATTAACATTTTTTATTTATTTTTAATATTCTTTTTTAAAAAAAAAATACCTTTTCTTTTTTTTTTGTATTAATAATATAATATAATATAATATAATGAATAAACTTATAATTTACAACAAAAAAAAAAAAAACAATTTTTAATGTTGATAATAATAATAATTGTATATAAAATATTTCAATAATTATTTATCGATTTATATTTAGGTTAACATGATCATTTGTTATCTCCTTCAAGCATTCTCAAAGTCTTAAAAGCATTAAATACATGTTCGATTATAGTTTTTTATAAAAACCTTTGCTAATCGATAAAATTACAAAAATTAATATTTGTTTGATTTTTCAATTGTAATTATATGGTATTCATAAGCAAGGTAAATAACTTTCTGGTGTGATTGAAATAACATTTGTGATTATTCTAGAAAATAATGGATTTATTTCATTTTCAGGAAGTTCTTTCCATGCTTCTTCGAGAATAGTTCTCACCCTCATGGATGGTTTTTTAGGTTCGTTACTGAGTGTATCCCTGTATAAAATTAAATCATAATTTTAATAATAATCATACTAAAAACCTTTGGAATAAAAATATTGTTTATTTGAAAAATAAATTCTTACTTTAATATAAATATGAGAGTCGGTGCATTTCCATCATCATATGTTTCATCGATTAAAGATTGAAATATCCTCGCAGTACTGCCAGATATCTCATCGAGATTTGTAATGTGAAGTCTATGTTTTTTAATGACAGGTTTTATTATTTCTAAGAATTTCCCATAGTCTTCACCATCATCATCATCATTCATTTCATTAGAATAATAATTTGAATTTAAACTTGCCTTACATACTGAAGATAATAATTGTTGAAAACAATTACAAGTATTAGTACTTTTTTTATCACAAAGGAATAAAATTGATTTAGGATTAGTTGTATTATTTTTAAAACTTCTTAGAAAGTAATTCCACTCTTTACTATTGTCATTTTGATATTTACTTTTTAATAAATCCCAACAATTAGATACATTCGAAGAATTTTTTGAAAAAAAGCAAAAATATAACAATACTATAGCGAATATAAATAAGATCAATTTATACCATTCAAATCCTAATGGGTTATTAACATTTTTATTTATTTTATCATTATTTTCTTTTTCTTTTTTTTTTATTTTATCTTTTTTCTCGTTATTTATATTTTCATATTCTTCAAAATCTGTATCTTCGTGGTACCTTCGAAATTTTTTATCATCATTATATGTTACAGAATAATATCCACGTTTATTTAAATATTCAGTATCATTAAATATATTTGGATTTTTTTTTTGGTTTTCGTACATTATTAAAAATATATATATATATATATATAACAATATGGAAAACCTAATTAATCTAATAAAAAAGACAAATCGGAAA